AGCAAACGATGCCTTTGTGATCACATCTTCTTTGGCTTCTCGCCTTTTCCACCATCGATATTGTGGTTTGAATCCTTTTCCAAGCCAATAACAGCTCTACTGTTACCTTCAATTTGATGTTTTCAGGTTAATTCTGATGTGATTGTCATCCGAGTTTTTCAATTTTGGATTCCGGTCAGTGTCAAATTCAACGGCAAGGAGTAAGGCAACGCAGGGGACGGTGGCATTGGAGAAGATGTCGAAGTACTGCCAGAGAGAGTGCTGTCAAGTGCAGTGGTGTTGGAGAAGATGAAGGTGAGGTCAAAGCCGGGATTGAAATCGGAAAGATGGAGAAGGTGGAGAAGGAAGAGATGATGAAGGAATTGGATTTGGGTTTTAGTGGGATTTGAGATCGATGGAAGACTTGGAGGATTGAGAACAAAAGAAAGGAAAGAAAGAGGGAGGGAAGGGTTTTGCAAAGGCGTGAGAAAGAAGTGCTTGAGCATACAAAGAGAGAGAGAGTTGTGCGCTGACTGGCTGTAGAAAAAAACACTTATCTCTTGGTCACATTCCCATTGGTTATTCAGATATTACTAAGCCATGTCAGAAGTAATAGTTCAAAAGTGTGGGTCAAATGGTCTTTTGTTTTTTTTCAAAAATGCAATAAAACAATAGTTGATGGGAGTTTTTTTTGCAGTTCAGGGGATTTTTTTTTTTTGGCATTTTATCCTATAATATGTTATTATAATGACATTACCAATTTTTCACACTCGAGTCACTCTCGGCAACTAATAGATTTAAGAAAGGTCAAAAATAATAAACACTGAACGATCTATCACTATAATTTGTCCAAACTTTAGAGAAAGTCCAAGTATTGTTGACTAGTGAGATTGTCAAAATTCATTTTCAATAGCTGAAGCAAGTTCAAGAAAATGTTTTCCAAATTAGCAAAGCTGAATTAATTTTGAAAAGAAAAAATCACAAGTATCTTATCATATTGCCATATGCCATGACCACTAGGTTGTCAAAATTCTAAGGGCCATCAAAACGGACATTTGATGACAAAGATTTGAATTTATAGTGTTTGACATAAACTGAAACCTTCTTCTTCTTCTTTTCATAGAAAATAATAAAAATTCTATAATTTGGTGACTGTTGTTATAAGATTCTTCCAAGAGCCTGTCAGGTGAGACAAAAATCTTTCTACCATGAATGACATATACTAACAGGTTCCTGAAATGGTCCCTCTGTATAATTGTGGTACGAGTCACAAATCTTCAATTCAAGGCCATTTATTTCACTATACATATAAAATCATAAAATACTATAGGATACTGATTACTGGACCCAAATTTTCTAGTTTTTCTATTCCATACCATACATGTGCAAAACAACCCAAAATGTGCAAATCTGTAGACTACGCTTTTCCAGAGTTTACAACGACTAACCATTCATACCGTCCATTAACGGCCAATTATGCCGTTAATTGCGGTTATGAGTTCTGTTTTTTGATTGGGCTTGTCCCTTGCTCCTTTAATTGGGCCCTTTCTTCTTGGGCTTGTAATGTCGTAAGGCGTAATTTCTTCTTATATATATCAGTTGTTTAACCTTTCTAAAAAAAACTTCACGGTTGTTGTAAGAACTATTTTATGTTCCGTTTGATAGAAAGGAAGACAGAGGATGGATGGAAGATAAAAGGGGAGAAACAAACTTCTTTTGTTTGATAGAGAGGAGACAAGGAGGGAAGAAAAAAAATGATGGATAAGTCATACTTTCTATTTTACAAATTTTCATCTTTCTAAATATGGACGGAAGACAAGAAGGATGAGAACCTGGACTGTTCTGGAAATTTTAGATTACAATACTACCTTTTATAACTATTAAATAAACTCTAGTAATCTCTATCATTCCTTCTTTCTTAACAAACAAAGTAAGGTGTTACCTCCTTCCCTTCTCTTCCATCCAACCAAATAAAAAGAAGGAATTTCTTAGGGATATCTCATTCATCAATTCTTTTTTCTCTTCCATCCAATTTTCTTTCTTTCTATCAAATGGAGCATTAGATAATTCTGAGCTCAGAACATAACACACACCCAGGGCATATTTGGAGTAAATGTTGTTTGATACAAGCACATACACAATTGATTAAAAGCTTCACAGAAAGGTTAATTCTGTACATGCACATACAAAATTCAGCAAAAAAATCACAAAAGTTTTCTATTCCCAAAGGAAACTTATTCTGAACAAGTGCATAACTAATTGAATGAAAATGCACACCCGTAGACTGTAGTCTATCCCATCATCGTCAAGTACACACTCCAATAGGAAAATTGGCCCATACAGTCCTAAATTATACTCGACAATTTATTGCTTTTTTGTAGTCATTCTCTGTTACATTTCCACCATATAGAAAATCTATGCTCAACAATAATCTAATCATGAATTGGTTTATGAAAACAACGCAAGTGTATTTATATATCACAATCCAAAATACAGGCAATATTAATAAGGAAAAAGAACACAAAAATTCACTTGTGGATAGAAAGAAAGATGTATTTAAAGTCTTGAGTCCTAACTCATTTCCTTTTCCTCTCTTTATTTTCTTACTCATTTCTAAAACAGAAATGATATAACATTTTTCCTTCTTTTTTTTTATCATTTGTTTTACTTCCAACTCCTTCAATCTAAATGGATTTTTTTTTAGCCTGGCAATGGTTAGTAGTTAGTTTTTTTGGGAGGGATCGAACCTAGGACCAATAGGGTGCGCAACACTTTAAGTCTGATCCTTTTACGTAACACTGTCACACCTAATCCAAATGGATCTTTAAGGTACATGATTTTTTGCATGTGGGAAATGACAGATCATGGCATTTGGACCTTGACAATTGCTTACAGGGGCCTTGAGAATCCAAAATTTTTGAGAGGTCTTATACGAACTTTCAAATACAAGGCCTTTTATATGTAAGGTTTTACTTGCGCAAAAAATTTATAAGAGTACTGAATTTTCATTAAAATAAAACGATAAGCACTAAGGGCGGCTCCAAATAATTTGGTACCTTAGGCGAAAAATAAAATGTGACATTTTAATAATATATTAATATTAAATAATATTTATTTAAAAATCATCCTTCTTACTTTGTGAAATGTAAAATTACTGATAAAATATATATAAACACACAAATTTATAATAACAAAAGTTAATAAATCAAAAAAAAAAAAACAGAATAATAACATGATTTAGAAAACCCCAATCAAATGCTCTTACAAGTTCTTCAATAGAATAAAAATGGATTCTATTTGAAAGTAACGAGTGTAGAGTAGAGAAAAAAGGAAATTATAAACTTGCAATAAGAGAGGAAGAGAGGAGGAAGATGACTTGTTGAGAGATGAGAGAAAGGTTATGAGGAATAAGAAAAAACATAAATAAATAAAATATAAAAGCTAGAAAAAGAATATGAAAAGTTTCACCACCTTTTCAAACTACGGTTAAATACATATTTAATATTTACTGCGGTAAAACTTACCGAAAAAAAAAAAAGAAAAATATATTGTTGTTGTAAAAAATGCAAATGAGAGAGAGTGAAAAAAAAAAAAAAAAAAAAAAAAAAAAAAAAAAATGACGAAAAAGAAGAATAAGTTATTTAAGAATATTAAAATTTAGGACCAATATTAAGATTCTATATGAGGAGAGAGAGAGAGAGAGAGGAAAAAAAAAAAAAGTTATTTAAGGATATAAATCTTTGGAACCCAATATTTCTAAATTAATTAGAGTTTAATTAAAAAAGAGAGAAAATAGATAAATTAAAAATATATATTTTAGGATATAAATTTTTGAGGTAGAGTATTAAAGGTTTATATTGATTAGTTTTTAATAATATTAAAAAATAATTATAATATAATTTATATAAAGAAATTTAAAATTTTGAACCCCTTCCAAATTGAATGCCCTACGCGACCAAGGCCGGCCCTTGTTGGTTACATTCCAATTTCTTTATATTAAATGCCATATAGTCCATCGCCATTTTCATTCTCACACGCATATTGTAGGGTACCCTAGGTAGGGAACGTACAAAAAAAAATATCTTATAGAGCAAAATTGAAAGAAGTATATTAAGTCAACTAGCATTTTTAACAACCAACCATTGGGCTAGGCTATTCGGGCACGGCCCAAAAATCATTAACAAACAGCAAAAAGAATAATAATTTTGAGACCCAACTCTTCAATCAAAGAGTGAACTAAAGTAGGATGCTTGTGAAGATTCGGACCTAAGTAGCATTTTATTAAAAAAAAATCAGAAATTATATAATACTGCGGTGTTACGGACACTATTTCATTGTTAATGGGGTCCAATGACATTAAGTTCAAAACCTGTAAAAGAAGGTATGCATCCATTCGCAAGTACTTGTGTGTCCACTGCCTCAGCAACTCGCAAGATAGGGTATGTCCCTTATTAGATAGATGCACATAAATTGATAGGGGATGTCCCTTATTAGATAGATGTACATAAATTGGTTGACCTGTTTTAAGCTGACCAACAATTTATGAAGTAAATAGACAAAGTTCACTCCAAATTGAATGGGCATATAAAGCATCACTGGGCTTTTCAATACTAATAAAAATAAAAATAATAAAGATGGTGACCAATTGCTATAAATTCTTCAATTAAACATGAAATGGTCACCCTCCGTGTAATTGTGGTACAAGTCACAAATCTTCCATTTAAAGTACTTATTTCACTGTATAAGTTAAAGTCTATCCCATCATCATCAAGTTTAGATGGTGGGTGTGTGTTTGTGTTTGAATTATACCCATACTCAAAAGCATTCAAATCTCTTTTTCTTTTTTTTTTTGGTGGGAATTGAAATTTCAAGAAGTTCTCGAGTCAGGAGCGGAGCCAGAAATATTCTAATGGGAGTTTAAGTAAGCACTATATAATTAAAATTGTAAATAATATATATATATATATATATATATATATATATATTAGAAATATTCTAATGGGGGCAAAGTAAGCACTATATAATTAAAATTGTAAATAATATATATATTATGCAAAGATTGATAATTTGCCGCAAGCATAAGATAAACGAGGGAATACAAAATTTTTGGAAGGCAAAGGAACCATAGCTGCAACATTAATTATTTCATACATTATTCAAACTATATTAACATCAAAACAAACCAAAATAGTGCATCCAACTCTCCAAGGGAGATACATTATCTCTCTTTAATCGGCCACCGGAATTCATCTGAGTCTGTGATTTTCATCTGAGTCTCTGATTTTCTCAACTTATCCACTTCAGAGCTTCAGTTTTCACCACCTCAGCTTTGCCGGGAAATACTGCATTATCAGTCAAAAGAGCACATACATACACCATGAATATGTGGAATTAAAAAGGACTCCTAAAGGATATACATAAATACTAAGTCACACCTTTTTAAAACAAACATTAAATTTTCAGATCAGTTGACATGGTTAAGACTTGAGAGTATGTACGGTCTTGATGAATTAATATTGCAAATTTACATGCAAAGTCGCGAAGAATTCACATGTAAATCGTGTTCGTCATATAATTCTTCACTAATTACTTCGAATGAATTTTGGATCTCTTGGGACAAATTCAAGAAATACAGAGGATGAATTCAAAATTTGGCCTGCAAGAGATGCTCACCTTTTTAATGAGAGAAAGGTAGTAGGGCTTGACTTCTTCAACATCAACTCTAACTTTGCTCTTACTGTAGAGGTCATACTTGCTGCACAAAAGAAATGAGAGAGAGAGAAACAAATTAAAGAAATTTAAAAAATTACGTACTAATTAATAAAAGCAAATGGTATTAAGATTCTATTTCTGCATGTTTCAAATTAATAAATCAAAACAAAGAAATGAAAAAGTTTACTTGAAGATTTGGAGCCATTTTAGATTCTCAACATCTTCCCCATTCATCAAGTGCTTATATGCTCCTGACTTGTGCAAAGCTGCAAGATGAATTAATTCCATTATAATCAACTCATAACAAAAACAAATCTTCCATTAAAACAAATCTTCCATTTATGTGTGTTTTTCTTTTTCCAACTTACCGTAAAATGAATGGTATCTGATGATGAAAAGACCTGCTGAAGGTAGAGTTGTGTTATTCTCCTTGGCCACCTAAAAGAAAAAGAAAGACGCAAATTTTATCTACTAGAAGTTTCAAACCTTAACATAATTTCATTTAAGAGGGTAACGCAAGAAGAATTCAGAGAAGGTTTGAAGAAGAGAAGTACCAAATACATGTAGTCATCATGCCCCCATGACATCATTACATTGTTGAGTCCACAATTTTGCGAATAAACTCCATACTTAGTGTTGTAAGCAGGATTATTGTAGTCTGGATTTTCTTCGAAATACTGTTTCACCACCCCCCAAATCATTTCAGAAGTTTTCCATCTAATTAGTTTCAATTTATTTTTTTTAATTTGTTGGTAAGCATTTAGTCATAATTTTGTCTATATTAGTGAAATTTGTCCAAAAAATAATAAAAAACGACCTTATGATGCACGATTGATTCGTCAAAGGCACATCCAACAGGGTATGTGTCACCTGCAATATTAATCTTGATCAATAACACGAAATGGGAATAATTTTATCAAAAAGATCTGTAAGTGTATGATTATATCAACCGTAATACATAAAAACTTTATGCTTACCTACAACAGCCCATTGAGGAAGTTCCCCAAAGCTAGGAAGAAGAAGAACCTTTCCAAGATCTAAAAAAACAATAAAAGCCAAGTTAAATAATTGGTCCTAGACTCCTAGTACCACGAAAGTATGAACTTTTAGTAAAACATTTCCCAACTGCTTCAAGTTGACTATTTAATCAATTTAGTAATGCCACTACCCCAAAAAAAAAAAAAAAAAAGAGGCACAAGTACTGAATTTTCAAAGAAAGGCCCAAAACAAAGAGTGTGGTCTAAAAATGAGTCTCTTGATTATATATGTGTGACTAACATCAAAATTATGTCGTAGTAAATAGTATTCGAGGAATAGTAATGTCACTTGAGCCGAAAACAAACCAAAAAAAATAAACAAATTAATCATCACATAAATTCATGTAAGCCCCCACATGGGGTCATTTCTTCAAGGGTGCTGTGGGACCAACCAGAGTTGGTGGGACCCACTATGATTGATGTCCCAACAAATAAGGGAGAGAGAAATTATTACAGAGTCATGCTAATCACATACAGGTAAGCGGCTAATCACATACAGGTAAAAGCAAAAAAACAAAATTGTAATAATATCTCATGTTGAGCTATTGCTGAAATAGGTCAAAAAAAAATAAGACATGGTTCTTTCTTAATGTTTGTTGATTATTTTTATTTATTTATGTACTTTTGTGTTACAAAGAGCATATTACTTCTCTCTGAGAATGGTTTTCCTTCTAAGAGCAAAAGTAGAAAATATACCATGGATAAGGCCAGTCAAGTGCAGCCAGTCCTCATTGGGATAGTCTTTTCTGATGGCTTCAGCTGTCTGCAGCAAATGCTCAATCTGGGGTTCATCTAAGTCGGGATCACTCTCATCAACGACGTCGTTTAGCAGCTCACAACATTCCCATATGCTCATCTCCACCTTGTCCAATTTTCCAAACCCTGCCCTCATCCCCTTGACCTACAATTAATTCAAGTCAATTCACGTACAGAAATAAAATCAAGGATTAATAACTCAAACTCAGAAAGATGAAATATGTGACAAGTAGCTTACAAAGTCATAAGTTTGGTTAATATGATTGATTCGGTAGAAGTTCTCAACACCTTCTTGCCTCTCACTTTCTGCATTATAGTCCCTGTCTTTTGCATATGCATGTTAGATCACAGAGAATAGTTACCATCATCATCAATATAGGAAAGTGAGGAGAGAAAATAAATACAAAAAAGAGATAAATCACTGTGTATTTTTTTACCTTTGGATCAAATAAATAAATAAAATAATAAATAGATATTAAACTACCAAATTGATTCAAAAGAGTGGAGAGATTCTATTCTTGGACATTATTTATTAGAGTCGTAATCGTTTTTTTTAATCATTTTTTTTAATATTTCAAGCTTAAATTAAGCCAATTTTCTATGGACCCCATCCATCGTTGAGTTGACCCAACCGTCAAGATGCACCGACAACGACAAGTAATCATGTTTATAAACTTGAGTGACCACCGGGACCAGGAATTGACACTAACCAAAAGCTTAAACTTTTAAGAAATGAATCCCGACAAGTAATCATGTTTATAACTCGAGTCACTACCCGGGTCGAAAATTTATACCATCCAAGAGCTAAAACTCTTAAGAAATGAATCCGGCATGTAATCATGTTTATAAACTAAACTCCAGTGACTAGTTGGGTAGGGAATTGACACTATCAAAAAGCTTAAGGAATTGACACCATCAAAAAGCTTAAACTACTAAAAAATGAATCCAACAATATATATCTAGCACTATAAACCCTAGTAATCTGGATTGTAAAGATGCCTTGATGAGCTCAAGAGATTTCATGGAAATGTATCAAGTAAAAGAAACACACAACATTGTTTAGGCTGGTCTTTGGCAAGACCAACTATACAATATAGTGATCATAACTAAATAGAAGAAAATATATACTTGGAACTATATAAGTTTTTTATTTATCATTTTTATTACCTTACTGTTTTGGGGGGTCACTGATTGCTTATACTTTTTAGTACAATCAAAAGGAAGATACAGATTACCAGATATAGGATCTGTTTGTTTGTTTACAAGTTTAACAATTATCATCATCCTATCTTGTCCCAAAATTCCAAGCATAGGTACACAAACCAATTTGTCTCCTTTTGTTCCATGATTCTTGTGCTGAAAACAAATCAAACTATGCACAGATCAAAGAGATGTAGTCTAAGATTTTATTTTCGATGAACTAGATTTTCACCATCCTGTTTTAAGTTTTCAGATCTAAAATCAACCTGGGTACCAAGTAGATTAAAACCACCAAATCCCCTTTTTTAAGGGGATAATTTGTCAAGTTTGATATAACACACACTGACACACACACCCACACACACACACACACAAGAACAGACTCAAAAACACATATATGATGCAAAGAGCAGAACCTAAAATGGTGGCCAAATGAATTGGAATGAGGCACAACAAATCCACCATCTAACATTAACTCCTTTTCATCTTGGGAAATCTTCTCCACTACCTCAACCTCAATTCCTGCTTAAAAATAATAACAGTAATAATAAACAACATATAAAAAAAAAAAATTAACATGTTACTATTGTAATCAATCAATCGATTAATTAATTATTTTATAAATCAGAAAAACCCAAAATCTCTTTGGAATCCCAAATAAAATAAATAAAAATCAGAAAAAATATTAATAAGATACAATCATCATCAATATAGTAGAATTTTTTCTATAAAAAAAAAAAGTTACATACACAAAATATCATTAATAAATAAATAATTATTAAAAAAAAAAAAACCCAGTTCAATACCAATTTGAGAGTATATATATAGAGAGAGAGAGAGTAAAATTTAAAAATTATTAAAAAAAAAAAAAAAAAAAAAGAAGAAGAAAAAAAAAAGAAAGAAGAATTACCCAACTCAGGCTCATCAATGAGGATGGTCATCCTGAATCAAGATTGAACTCAACAACAACAAAGGGGAGAGAACCTAGAAATTTTTTATATGATGATGAGTTTAGTTGTGACATTGTGTGTTATGTGAAAGGGCAGTATTTATAATTGCCGGAAAGTCCTTCCCTGAGATTTAGGAGGCTCCGAGTCCTTCCCTGAAAATCTAGGTTTCTCACTTCTTTTTAAATTTGTAAATTTAATACACCTATACATATACGAGATATATTAGAATAGAAATAGGAGATATTGTTGCAAATTGCTAATGCAAGTTGGCATGAACTAACGCAAAAGTCTCATAGTCAGAGTTTGGCTGGCACACTGTTGTGATATTTTATCTATGTGGGCCCTACCAATGTTCCCATGTGTGACTCAACTTTGCGTTGGAATCCCAAAATCCTTCATTATCACGGACCTGTTTACTGGGACCCACTGACGTGGCATCTAGTCAAGGATGGTGGTGGTTTTGGAGTTATTTTGCAGTCGCTATTTCCACTCTCTTTTTGGTAATTACCACACCTGGTCACGCGCGATGACTTGCGAGAATCTGTAACGAACGGTGCAAAATCATTGGGTGGCATTGAGGTGTCAAACTACAGGACTAGTGGTAGGTACTAGGTAGAGTGGAACCATATAACTTTTTGTTTGATTGATATGAGTTGGAGTACAGCCGTACAGTTGTAGTAAATTTTAATTGTGTATTATCCCAAAGGATTAAGTACCAAAAAAATAAAAAATATGCAGAAAAAAAAAACACTACTATTAAAAAACAATTTGCAATATAACTTTCTATATTATCCATTTTTTATTAAATTATCCCCTATTGAATAAATATGATGAAAAATAATCTTATAAATTTGAACATTAAATGAGTTTGTTTGGATATACTTCAAGATCTATCTAATAAAATATTTTTTTCTAATATTATTTTTCTCTCTAAAATGTTTCTATTAAGTACCAAAAAATAAAAAATTTACAAAAAACAGTCCTATTCAAAAACAATTTGCAATATAACTTTCTATATTATCCATTTTTTATTAAATTATCCCCTATTGAATAAATATGATGAAAAATAGTCTTATAAACTTGAACATTGAATGAATTTGTTTTGATGTACTGGAAGACCTATCCAATGAAATATCTCTTTCTAATATTATTTTTTTCTTTAAAATATTTCTATTTTGCTGTTAGTTTGTTTTCAAGAAGACATCATTGTTATTTTTTTTTTTTTTATGATACTATATTTTATTTAGTTTGTCAAGTGAGATTATGTCATTTGTACTTTATTTTTTATATTTGTAGAATATTATTTATTTCAATATATATATATAGAAACATCATCTTTTGTTGCAAATATTTTTTTTCTAATTCTATAACTTTTATATATATTCCTTCCATTTCTAGAACTCCCATGGTATAAGAAAATATAATATATCTCTCTAAATTTTTTTTCTCTCTCTAAAATTTCTCTGTTGTTGATAACATATCTCTAAAATAGAGCACCCGAAATTAACAAACCCCAAGAAATTTCATATTTATATAGAAAATTACTTGTTCAGATGAGGCAACGTCAAAGCAATATATATAGAAAATGTGGACTTGTTTAGATTTTATTTGTAAATTTTTACACTTGCATATTCCTTCATCAAATTTTAACTTTGTGCAAGAATACAACATGTCATTCATAAAGTAAGGTTTTTTTTAGTAATTTTACTGTCAAAATTATGATTTGTCTTAAATAGAAAAAAAATAGAGGGTTTTTTTTTTTCAAATAATAGCATTTTGTATATTATGAAAGGTTTTTTTACACCTAACCCTATCCCAAATCACAAAATAAATGTGGGATTGAAATTCCTAAAATTCCCATTATAAATTGTGGAAACTAAATATTGAATTTTCCATGGAAAGCATAATTTAGGTTCATTCTAAAAAGGAGGGAAAATGAATTTAGACAAGAAAATGGTTTGCAATCTATTTTTGTAATAGGCAGCTAATTTTTTAATTAAAGAAAGACATTTCTTAATTGTGATTCAAAAATATCCTCACACTAGCTACGGTCCAGGGATGTTAAAGCCTCTAAGTATGACAATGTTTAAGTACAACGTGTTGACGTGGATTAATAATATATAAATATGATTTATTTTATTACCAAATTAAATATGATGTATGTACTTATTATTTTTAGTTTGATAAGTAACTACCTCACTATTTTTAATTTGATAATTAAAAAGTATGTATCCATTAATTGTTGGTCCAAACAAATCAGTAGAAGCAAAAGGTGTAAATCTTCATTGACCTAATTATTATCCTTATAAATAAATATATACTCAACTTCATTATAAACCACCTGTGTAAAAATGGACAATCGCCGAATTATCAAATGAGATATGAATTTATTCTAAAATTATCCCTTAAGGTTTTTATTTTTTATTTTTTATTTTTATTTTTATTTTTATTTTTATTTTATCGAACTTATCGAATCCGAATGGAATCATCATCACTTATATGGTAGATCTAGTTGTTCATACGCTATTATAGGAGTATTCAAAAGGGAAAATGCTTAGTGATTTTTTCTTTGTGATTTTAAAATGAATTAGTTGACTGTTTATTTGGATGCTTTATGGGTTTTAAAAGTAATATTTTTTAATATAGGAAATAGAGAAAAAATAATAAAAACTTACTATTATAGTATCCAAGCTCTCGTATAACTTATTAACTTCAATTCAATTCTGCCTATATATCTTCGTTTAGGAGATCATTTCTATTAAATCTTCAAATAATTAAAACTAGACACTACAATTTTTTACTATAAATGAGTGATCTCTTACTCTTTAATAAGAACCACTTTGTATCAAATAGTTAGATAATTAAAATTAAAAGTAAAAATTTTTACCATGAATGAATAACCTATTTTTCATCAATAAGAACCCTAATTTATATAGTAATTCACTTAAAGTTTTTTATAATTATATTTTGATTTATTATTTTTTATTAAGGTTAAATTTGAAAGATATACCCAACATATATAGAGTAATTGAAAAATATAGAGAGGGGTGTTCAAATAATCCACTAATCCGTCAAACCAATCTGATCCGTGTGGTTCGGTTTGATTTTTTGATCTAATGATTCGGTGATGGTTTTAAAAATTAGCAATCCATAATGAGCGGTTTGGTTAACGGATTAAACCTTGAAAAACCCGAACCGATCCATTAACCGATCCAATCCGATCCGTGAATTATATTATATAATTAATATATATATATAATTATATGTATACTGTAATATATTATTTCTATTTTTTTTTTATTCCTTATTTGTTTTTAGATTAAATGTGCTACAACATACCATTTTGAAAGATTTATTATTTGGGCTGAGCCATAACTAAAATAATAAAACATAATCATATATTGGGTTGGACCATAACTATAATATAATTATATTGGGTTATTTTAAAAAGCTCAATCCTTGGGAACCGAATCAAACCAATCCATTATTTTTCACGGTTCGGTTTGGTTTGGATTGATAGTCCCCACGGATCGATTCGGTTTCAGATTTATCCAATCCGCGAGGACTGAATTAGTTTAAATTTTACTCAAAACTGAACCGATCCGATCCGTAATCAGCCTTAGAGAGTGTAGATGAGAATATATATATATATATATATATATATATATATATACACACACCTATACATATAATTAAAAAATATTAGTAGAGAAAAGAAAATTAGAAATAGATTGAGAAACTTAGTGTAATAATTGATTCTTTTCTTTTTTCTTCGATTGACAATTCGTTTAGTTTGATAAAATATGAAACGAGTACTGTTATTTAGCCTGACAAATAAAAACCTACTACTTTATTGAATCTATGTGCTTATTGGAGAACCTGCTTACCTCATCATTACTTGATGAAAAAAAAAAAAAAAATTTAAAGTATTAAAAAATTGTAAAAAAAAACACATTGTAATTTTTGTTGTAGATTTTGTACAAATCAAATTCTTATATTTGAGTACCATGAAACTTGATACGAAAACAATAATAATAATAATAATAATAATAATGATACAACCATAAATGAAAAACTTAAAAAATAAGGAAATTAGTTATGAAAAATGATGCCTATTTAACTTAAAATTTTAGAATAATTACATCATATTTTATCTATGTGGGTTTTAAATCGAATATTAAAGTCGTCAATTATATTATTTTCCTTCAATAAATTATGTAAATAATTAAGGAGACACATTGCTAATTGGAATGATTTTAAATATAAATGATTAGAAGCTTTGTGCCACATCATTTCATACGCAAAGCTATCTAGGTATGATAATAAATTTGCTAATGTTCATTTAAATGGAATGGTATAGACCTAAGTAAAACAGTTGTGACCATCAGTCTCATGTGAAAAAATGCTTTAAACACCAGTGATAATTCTTTATTTTTATTGATAATTCTTTATTTTTATTTATATATTATTAGGATACATTATTTTTCCAAAAAAATACACATCCTTATAAAAAAAAAATTGTATGCTGTATCAATCCCAAATTCCCAATTAAGATTTTTGGTATCCTGATTTTTTTTTTACCCCTCTTTTTCTCTTGCCTGCCTTCCTAAATTCTTTCTCTATTTTTTATTTACTTTATGTTCTCTCTCATTAGGGTAAGAAATAACATAATTGAACGAAGTAATTGATCTTGTTAGTATAAAAAATATTAAATAAACTATTAAAACTCTATAAACCATTAAACTCCTTTGATGCTAATTGTGATGGGAATGGTAATTTGGTTTTTTTTTTTTTTTTTTTTCACTCTTCGATTTTTTTTTTTTTTTAGTATTATTTACAAATATGACATGGTATGATTCATTTTAAAATATACCCAATGACGTGTTTTAGAAAGATTTGTAATGTTTGAAAATTATTTCATAATTTTCATTCAATAAATTTTCTTCATCTGAATAATTGTGACTGATTTTAACATTGGCCATCGTCATAATAATTTTAGTTAAATAAATTTTCTTTTGTTAGAAAAAAACAGTAAAGAAAGTAAATAAGATAAGAAAATAAAAAGTTATGGTATTATTAAAGGAGACATGATGCATTAATAAGTCTAAGATCTTCCTATCATTTTCTTTACAGAGAAAAAGAATAATAGTACAAAAATGGAGTGCGAATATAGTCACCCAACAAGAATATATAGAGA